AAGGAGCTCCTAGTATATAAATATTAAAAAATGAAATAAGTTAGTGAAAGTAGCTTGTAAGAAAAGTGGGTTTGTGTGCATGGAATAAACCAACCCAAAATAATTGTAATTTAAAATAACTAATTTGCCCCTCTTGTGTACTTGTTAAACAAGCATTAGGTTCTTTTTATCAAATTTTTTTTACAAAATATAAATAATTATTTATTTTTATTGTTCCCCAACAGCTCCATACAATTGTTTAATGGTGATTTATGTGTGTATAATTGGGGGTTAATGTTTATTTTAGTGATTAAATCCCAACATTCATGTCCATGATCTCGATCTATACATAAGTATCCATGTGGACTGAACCTTTTGTCTGACTTTTGAGTTTTTGAGCCTATTTTTTTCTCCTCCACCTTCTGTTCTGTTTTGGTTTGCCTGAATTATCTTGTTAGTGTTCGCTATTCTATTGCTTTACTTGTTCACAAGACAAGCTTGTTTAATTTGGGGAGTTGCTAATCTACCACACCAGTGTGTCGGAATAATTCTTAAGGACAGTATTTTTCGATAGGACTCAAACTTCATTTTCTTACTTGCCACCAATTGTTGGTCCTATGTAAATTGCAAAGTGAGTTATTTTCACATAGTGATCACAAATGTTGAAATATTAGTTGTTTATCATAATTAGTTGTTAGCCAAAGTTTATTCATATGGTCAAAGGCTGGACATTTAGATAGGGAGGTATATTGTGTTAATTTCACCTCACTCTATATGGGATTAATTCTCATAACTTTTAGTAAAGGGCTGTATGAATTGTAATTATAAACCCTTCTTGAAGGATTACGATTGTAATGTTGTATCGTTTTCATTAATGAATGTTCAATTCTTTTTATCTCTTTTCAATTCTTTATAATCTTAACAATGGGTAATGCTCGACTGGAAAATTCGTCAACGGAGTAAGTGTAAGGGCTTGAGTGGGTCGTGTAAGGGTTGCACTAGCTTGCGGTCAATTATGGCTTTATAGAAATATGAGGATTTTCCAAGGGGCTACAATTGATGCGCGCGCGTGTATTTGCTTTTTTTCGGTCTGTAATTAATAAAATATTATTTTTTCAGTGAAAAAAATTGTCTTTCTGTCTCCTTTTTTTTTTTTAAAGAAAGTTTCAAAACATTAAATTAATAACCATGAAGTTATCAATAAATTTTATTAAAAAATAAGTTAAAAATATTAATTTAAATAATTATAAATTTAAGAGTTTTAATTGTAAATAAATATTTAAATATTAAATATAACTCTTTCAAGTGTTATAAAAATTTCTGTTTATAATTATTTAAATTAGGAAAAATTAATCTTTTAATCTTTCAATTTTCAATTTACTTGTAACTCAATTCTTCAACTATGACTCGTTGTAACTCAATCCCTCAACTATAACTCACTGCAACTCAGTCACTCAACTTTTGATTTACCTATAACTCGGTCCTTATTTTTTATTTTTTTTAAAAAAATTTTATCAAATAAGAGGGATAAAAAATGCTCATATATTATTTTAAAATACCCTCCTCTTATTTATTGATGTGAGATATAAGCTAATATGAAAAAAAATTAACAAAAGTTAAGAGACTAATTTTTAAGTGATTCAAAAGTTGAGAGACTGAGTCATAGGTGAGTTATAGTTGAGGAATTAAGTCACAGCGAGTCATAGTTGAGGGACTGAATTACAAGTGAATTAAAAGTTGGAGGACTAAAAAATTAATTTTTTCTTTAAATTAATATTTATAATTTATTTTTAAAAAAATTTTATTGAGACCTAACTATCATTAATTAAATCATTTGGAATCTAACTGTCATTCTTTTGATTTTTTTTTTTTTGTACGAGCTAAACTCTAAACTCTACAATTTTGGCAGTGAATCCTTATGAATGAAATTCACTGTCATTTACCAAAAAACCAGGTGAAGTAATATACTATAAATGATCAAAATCTCTCAGTTTAACCTATTTAACAAAATCAGCTTAATGCTCATAGATATTTTCAAATAAAAAATTAATGTAACATCAATTTTTGTTTTGCGTAGAAATGTAAATTTTAAAAAAATTATACTTCAATCATATGACATAGAAAAATATATGAAAATATTAACTTAAATTGATGTAAATAATGAAAAAAATTCATCTTACATACTTGGACAGGGAGTCTATAGATATGTGTAAAAGTTTAAAAGATACTTCTTATCTATGAAAGCGTGTGTGTGTGAGAGCGAGGGATATTCTTGTTGTTAGGTAAGTGAGTATATAACATAATCAAAGTTTATTTAACAATTTAAAAATGTTTATGTAACAATGAACATAAAATTCAGAAGGGGAGAGAGAAAGAGAAAAAATTCTTCTATTGTTAGTTAACAAAGAAGGTAACATAATGAAAGTTTATTTAACAATGAAAATGAAATTAGTTTTTGAAAAAAATAATTATTTAGTCTATGTAGTTTTGACCCAATTATAAGTCAATCTCTGAATTTTAACTCATTTTAACTCATTCTCTAAAATTTTGACTCGATCATAAATCAGTCTCTGAACTTTACCTCTTGCAATTTAGTTCTTGAAGTTTCAACTTCTTAAATATTGACCCCTGTATTTTAAAAAATAAAATTATAAAGATTAAAAATATTTTAAAATTTATTACTAATATCTTAAATTACTAAACCCTTTTAATATTTATAAATATTAAAAGTTTAAAATATTTTTACTTTTTATAATTTTATTTTTTAAAATATAGGGATCAATATCTAAGAAGTTGAAACTTCAGAGATTAAATTACAAGAGGCAAAATTCAGGGATTGATTTACAATCGAGTCAAACTTTTAAAAACTAAGATATAACGATTCAAAATTCAAGAATTGAATTATAACTAGATTAAAATTATAAAATTAAATAATCAATTTTTCCTTAGTTTTTTTATTAGATTACGCGCATCTTCAAGTTTTGGTAAATTTAAAAAGATTCTTCGAATATATTTTAGATTGCAGTTTTCTTTTATTGCATAAAAATACAACTTAAAAAAAAAATACTAGAAAAGGAATAAACATCAAAATCTTTAATCGGGTAGAAGTTTTGTTTGCAATTGAATTTTGACCATTCTTTTTCCGATACCAAATATTGACCATTCATGGAGGATACGTGAGAATTTTTTTTTTCTTTTTTCCCCTTTTATCAAGATACGTGAGAATTTTTTAACATTGTGCTTGAATAACTTTGTTTTTCATTGTTAAGTTAGCTATAACTTATAATTTATTTTTAAAAAAACATTACCTTAAGTCTTCATATTTGGCTCTTATTTTGTTATTAGTTGTTATGTTTTTTTTAATATTTTTAATCTCTATATTTTTATTTTTATTATTTTAAATCCCTCCATAAATAAAATATGGAGATCTAAAGTGATGTTTTTCTTTTTATTTTTTAACTTCCTTAAAACTAGCCTATTATTAATGTAATATTCAATTCAATATTGCATTGGTTTCAAAAATAAAAAAAATAGATTATAAATTAGTCAAACTGTCTTTCTATATTCAAGTCAAATATTTCAAATCATTTTATTATTCAAAAACCAAATTAGTCAAATTGGCTTCCTACAAAAGTTATTTAATTGTAAAGAAGATATATTTAAAATTCAATGATTTATTTTAACATACAATATAAAATTCATAACAATTATTTGACAAAATATTTATAAAAAATAAAATTATTTATAGATTATAAACAATATAAATAGTTTCTAAAAATAAAGATTGTTTAAATATCTTTGGAGAACAATCAAACCTAAATAAAAAAAAAATTAAGTGGAAAACAGAGTGGTCCCCAAATCTGAATCAGCTACACGGTGGATTCTTAAATATCTATCTGATAGACTTTGAAGTAGACAACACAAGCTGAACAGTCCCACTCCTTCTTTGTCCAGAAGAGAAATTCAAATTTAAATTGAAGTTTTTGACAAGAAAAATTGAATTAAAAAGTAATTACTTCATTATATCTTGTTTATAAATTATTTAAAATATTATTATGATGCTTTATTTATTACAACTCTTCATTAATAAGAGAGAGAAAATAAATTTACTCTCTCCATTTTTATATATGAAATATTTTTTTAAAATTTTATTTTTTTTGTAAATATAAGATGTATCATGATATTTATTCACAAAAAAAGTATCATGATATTTTTAAATAATTAAATAATTTTATTTTTATTTTAAAAAAATAAAAGAGATATTAATTGCGTGCTATACTAACTACTACCATAATACTAATATGATATTATAAGAGAAAAAAATTAAAAAAAATTATTATAACTTTATGTAATTTTAATTAAACAATAAATTTTTATTAATATGCCAAATTTGATTAAAATACTTTATTTATAGAGATTGAAGGAATACTATTTAAGAATTTGAGAAGTGAGATAATAGAAAGTAATATTAAAATAATCATTGCTAATAAAACTTTATTTTTTTAAATGTCTTATTTTGAAATATCAAGTCAATTTAAAAAATATTTTATAAAATAAGACTAGAAATAAAATAAAAGATAATAAACTTTTAAAATAATTATAACCAGCAATAAAGATTGTGTTTTGTGTGGAGAAGACTTTAACGCTGACTTGTATCACTAGTCCAACAGTGTATCTCTCACAAGAAAAAGTCCTTGATGGAAGATATATTTTTTTAATAATTTTTATGAGGATTTTTTTTTTGCCAACAGAAGTAAAGAAGTAAAGCTTTTACTCAATATAAAATATAATTTGAACATGTACACAATTAATTTTTAATTATTAAGTGTATTTATACATGTCTTTTTGTGGTTAGATTAAGTGCACGCTGTACCTACATTAATAATTTAATTAATGCAAAGCAAGAATTTCTCCCAAGTGCAGTGGCATAATGACGTAATTTTAGTGAAAAAGAGGGTCATTTTCCAAACCAAGTGTGCTGCAGGCTCCATGCTCTAAATACGGGAGCGCCACAGCGTCGTCTCTCATCTGTATCTTCTACATTTCAGGACTCTTCTGGTTGAACCTGTAATCGAGTAGCATTTTGCTTTTGCTCTCCTCTCGCGTTCTGATTCTGCACACGGCTCCTCTTTCTCTCCCCTCTTCTCCTTTTCCAATTCAATTCTGAAGTGGTTTTCGGGTATATGATAGCTCACAATCAGCATTTCCTACTTCATAGTTCATACCGTCATTCCATCACCAATTTGAGTGTACTCTTGTGCATTGCTTTGATTACGCTCTTCACTTTAATTGAATCGACGATTTCAGTATCTTACTCGCCTTCTATTGTGCTTTTTTCTTTTTATTGATCATGACGTGATGATGTGATTGTGGATTTTGCTAATATCTGAGTTTGATTTGTGTCTATAATTTTGTGTTTGAGCTCCTTTTATTCGTTCTGTGTAAATGTATGAAGCTGGTGTAGACCAGTTTGAGGTGCAGGTTAGCTCCGTCGGTTGGTAGGGTCGAACTATTGGGTTTGAGTTTTTAACTTGACGATACTGGAGAGGATTTGAGAAAAGGAGGAGGACTAGCTTTGGTGTGTAAATCAAATTCATGAGCCTAAAGAAAAGGTTAGCCTTTTGTTCTTGTTCTGGTTGCTGTGGGAGCTAGAAGCATCGTGGACTTATGCACTTGAAGGATTGTCACGCGCCAAATGTCATATCATCAGATGACTCCAATGAAACGTTTTTTGGTGAAGTTGTTGGGAATGTGACGCCAATGACTTATGGTGTCTTATCTTTAATCCCACCGACCAAAGGATCATAGTAGCAAAGAAAAGAACATCTCTTTTGATTGAGAACTTGGTGTTTTTGCGTAGTTACAGGTTATTGGGAAACATATCAACTGAAGGTCCCACAAACCGCTTTGAGTTTCATTTGGTATGGTTGCAAAGGTTGAGCAGCCATATCTGACCAGAGTCTTTGGCCATACGTTGTCCAAACACACCCCCTCCCCTGGGGAAGAGATTAAAAAAAATCAGGGCAGGGCAAGATCCAGAAGGAGTATTTCATTGTTTTCATCAACCAACTCTTATAAAACGCAGCCGAAAGACCAAGAATGTGTCATGTTGGGCAAATTATCAAATGCGATGCCTTCACCTGGACTAAACGGATCCCTACTTATTATTATATACTTTTTTCTCCTTTTCTTAATCATTTAACTTCATCCATACTTAGCGCTTTAATGTACTTTTTGGAACATTTGTTGCTGTTATCGATTTCTTTATAATAATGAATTTCACCTTATATTTACAGGTCTTTGCCAATGGCTACTAAATCTGTCGTAGATTTAATAGAGTCATCCTCTGGGGTTCATTTTTCTGGATTTCACATGGATGCATTGGAGAAAATAAATGCTGGGACAGAGCCACCAACAACTTCAGTAGCTGAACACATGTATAATCAACCATTTGTGATAGGTTTGTTTTTGCATGCCAAGTTGCCTGTGTCTGTGTTGCCATGAAACAAACCAAGGATTGGTAGTGCAATTAATGGTGGTGAATATTAAATTTCTGGTGTCTAGGGGGTCTCATGTGTAATAGGCCAAACAAAAATCCCTTTCTTGCTGGCTTGGTTGTTATACACTGAGGTCTCATATTCCACCCACAGTGGACAAGGTTCTTCCATTTTGGCGGAGAAAATGTTGCAAGCTATGCTTTATGCCCAATGGATATAGTTTCAGATTTTAAAGGAGTCATTAAGCTGGGTGTTATGACGTACATGAACAAGGTTATTATCTGATAACGTTAGATATTAAAACTAAAATGTTTTCTAGTGATTGAAGCTATCAAATTTCCTTAAACATATGCTCTGCTAGAGGCTAAGGACCGAATCAGAGTCCAAATTTGTGTGGACTTAAATGTTAATCTAAAACGAAAATTGCTTCTTCTGCTAATGTAACGAGTGCTGGTATAACCATCATATATAATAATCAATTTTGTCATCAGTAAAATGGCATCTGCTTTTTTTATATCCGCAAAATAGATTCTTGCACTGTTTGCGTTGAAGATTTCTTGAAATTTGAAATTGATTTAATTTTCTAAAAATTTTGTCATGCATGATGAGATTGCTAGAATCTTTCATTTCTTTAGTTTCACCGCTTCTAATTTCTTAATTAATTAAATAGTTTCACTTCTATTTTTTTTTTTGGGGGGGGGGTTTGTGGCAGGTGTTGCTGGTGGAGCAGCAGCTGGGAAAACTGAAGTTTGTAATATGATTATTCAGCAACTTCATGACCAACGAGTTGTAGTTGTTAATCAGGTAATAAATTTTCTCCATTTATTTATTCATTGTCAATCTATGTAGCTATCTCCACTTAGTAGGATAAGCTTTGTTGTTATTATTGTATTTATTCATTGTCAAATTAATAACTTATCTTGCTTAGATGCCTGATCTACAAGGCAATTAGTAACCTTATTATGTACTTAAAGCCACAGAAGCATCCTTTCCTCCTTTTTTCCCCTGTACCCTTTAGATTTTTTTTTTTTTGGTTTTGTCCTTCCACTATAACACTTAAAGCAGTGGAAAAATTTCAGCATTTCCTGATGTCAAAGTGAAACAGATATAACCCGATGCTATGCTTGCCACCATAACTAAAATTTTTTCATCTCTGTATTTTACTCAGTTTTAACATCCCATCTGCCTTCCATCTTACCCTTTCTATAAATATTAACATTCTCTCAACTTTTCCCTCAAATTTCGTAGAGTCAAACATGTTAAAGTTGCTATTTTGAACAAAAAACTGGAAACATTTATTTTCTTTGTTATTAATGTCATGCATGTTTGCCTTTCTATTTTTTATTTTTTCCCCTCTTCATATTGCATCACTTCCTTCCATCTATCCCCTTTCATTTTCCTTTCTGGAGGATTTGAGCTTATTTATCTTATAGTACTTATATTGATCCGTTTAATTAGTTAATGAACAAATGAGTTATTTAATTTGACAGGATTCTTTCTATCATAATTTGACGGAAGAAGAACTTACTAGAGTACAAGATTACAACTTTGATCATCCTGGTCAGTATAAACTTGACTTATTATCTTCTATCACTAGTTTCTGAAGACTTTATCTTGGTACTATAAATCTTATAATTGAAATGCTTTCTTTCTCTGCTAAATTTAGTTTATTGCCTTAACGTCTTTTTTTTAAAAGAATTCTTTATGAAGATGTGATCAGAAATCTTAAGTGATTTCGCCACACTCTTGTCATTTTAAACAGGTTTTCTTAGATTGTTATAATTTCACCTGGAACATCTATATTACATTTGATGAGCACCAACGATATTGTTATTGTTTTCAGAATTACTTAATAATATCAAAGATAGTGCTTGGGAAAGTTTAATCCTGATAAATTAATCTGACAATATTATTTTCATATAAAAATTTCTAGATCCTTATGATAATCTATAAGACTTCAGTACAGTTGTATTCTTGTGTTGCCAAGATATTACTAATGAATTCTGAGTATTTTTAAGAAACAATTTAGTTTTCAACTCCAACTTCCTTTTGGTTCTATTTATAATTATAGAGATGGAGAGCAGACTTCCAAAATTAGCTGTCTTACAATAATTGAAATAGAGCTCATTCTTTGAAGGAAAATATCAGAAAGGCAAACTTCTCATCCATAAAGTGAAACCTAGTACTCAGCCAGCAAAATTAGTGGCTAAATGTAAATGGTTGTAGCTTGCTGGATTTTATCCCTCAAACTAAGGTCTAGTTATTACTTGAGTACAGCAACTTTAAAATATATAAAAACCGCTATTCATTGGAGAAAACACAAACATCTCTGTTATTTAATGTGAGGGTTATTTTTATGTTACTTTAAAGAAGAGGGATGCGCATTGATAAATTTAAAGTTGATGTACTGAAATCTTAGGCCTTGATTTAGGAGGTTAAAGTGTATTTTTCCCTAAATTTTTATTGCAAATGCGAATGATGGCTGTATTACTGGTCTAGTTCCATACTTATCTGACAATGCTGCTTATATCATCAGATGCTTTTGATACTGAGCAATTGCTAGGAGTTATGGACAAATTGAAGCATGGACAAGCTGTAGATATTCAAATTTATGATTTCAAGAGTTATAAAAGGGATTCATCTCCATCTAGACGGGTATATGTTTAACTTTCACATTTTTCGTGGCAGCTTTACCCCCCTTTTGAAACCTTTAGATTGAATTGAGTCTTCTGTATCTGAAATTTTAGTGCATAGAGAAAGTATAAAGTGTGTTTGGCATGATAATGAAGAAACACAAAGATTGGACATGGTTTCTCATGGGATCTGATGTTGTTGTATGCTTGAAAGAAGTTTTGTCCCTGCATTTACTCTCACCAGGGAGAACGTATGTTACATTTTGATAGAGTCAATGTACTAATATTCTTTAAAATTGGTTGCATGACATTATGACATAAAAGAGTTCGTTATTTGCATACCTAACAACAAAGAATTCTGGTTGGTTCTAGTAATGACATGTGGATGTTTGTTTGTGTTTAAATTTGTTTTTTCAGGTAAACCCTTCTGATGTAATAATTTTGGAAGGAATTCTTATTTTTCATGATCCACGCGTTCGGGAGTTGATGAATATGAAGATATTTGTTGACACAGGTCCTTATTACTATTCCTATTTAATTTGACAATTTGTGTGCTGCATGTTTTTGGTTGCCTTGTTCTTTCTCATGTAACATCTGTTGTCTGATTCATTTTCTTCTTGCAGCTCAGTGTCTTTAATTTTTTTTTTTTTGGGGGGGTTCAACATATGGCTTTTTTAAAAATTTGTATGCTTTGTAGTTTTAATCTATGTTTCTTTTATTATGTCATAGGCAAGTGCCTATTTATTCCTTATTATTAGTAAGGCTATGCTCTTAAGTCTTTGTCGTAATGCTAAGTTATGCTGTCACTCACGTTGTAAAATGCTCAGTGCAGATGCTGATGTTCGACTGGCTAGGAGGATCAAGCGTGATACAGTTCAGAAGGGTCGGGATATTGGTACTGTGCTTGATCAGGTAGCAACTCACATCTGTTGCAATACCATGAAGACCATTTTAGTTTATCATTTATTTATTTATCATTGTAATTTTTTTAATTTTACTGTATTGCAAAACATAACAATTTTAAGAGCTTAATAATTTAGTCTAATGCTGCTGATAAGTTACAGTAAATGATCCTTGGTAGGAGAACACAAATTATTCAGTTTTTATTGATTTGGATCATTGGTAAATTTTAAATGCTCATGGTTATAAAGGTCAATGTCATGAAGTCTTCGTTATCAGATGTTGATGTTTTATGTATTTTATAAATTCTGATAGCTGACTTTATTTGATGCAGTATTCTAAATTTGTCAAGCCAGCTTTTGATGACTTTATTCTTCCAACAAAGAAGTATGCTGATATCATTATACCCCGTGGAGGAGACAATCATGTGGCAATTGATTTAATTGTACAGCATATCCGCACAAAGCTTGGTCAGCATGACCTGTGTAAAATATATCCTAACCTTTATGTGATACACTCAACTTTTCAGGTACTCCCTTCTCACTGTTTGTTGAAAATTTTAATTATTTGTTTCTTTTGCCCCTCCACCTGGACCTAAACACTGGTTTCTACAACAGTTTGAATCAGCATTGTAATTGCTATTATGCAGATACGGGGTATGCATACCCTGATACGTGATTCTCAGATAAAAACACATGATTTTGTATTTTATGCTGACCGTTTGATTCGTCTGGTAGGTGCACACAAAGTTTAATTTGCTTATTTTTGAATTTAGTGGTGGCATGACTTATTTTTGAGTAACCAGGTTGTTGAGCATGGCCTGGGACATCTACCATTTACAGAAAAGCAAGTAATCACTCCGACTGGTAAGCTGTTCTATTTTGTGGCTCACCTTGTAAGCTTCTTGTAATAAGTGATGTCCATTACTTGGTGTGTGGCCATGTAGGTGTTAGGTTAACAACTTAATGGTTTATCATTTTGTGTTCTCCCTTTTACTTAGAGTCTTGTTTTTCATGTTTCCCAAAGCACTGACCATTTTAGTTGCTGAACTCAGGAGTGGCTGAGTTGCCTTAGATGCATATTTTTAATTATGTAGAAAGAAAGGCCTACAGTTATTTTGTGTGAAAGTATTAATTACCATTACCAGCTGATGTTGATTCAATGATGACAATATTCTCTATGGCATAGCCAAGCTATTTTATTTTTACGCCATGCACCTATTTCTACATGAATGCGTGGGACTAGTGTCACACGATCACAATATTTCTACTTCAGGGCTTCATGTCATGGGAATCAAAGCTGCATCTTGTGGTAGTAATTGAGATGCTTTTTTTGTTGCATGATACTGGTTGTAGTGTTTGCTGTACTGAGCAATGGCCTTCTGTGTCCAACTGTCCTCCTTAATTTATCTGTCATTATTGTTCTGTTATGCACGGAATAGAAAGTTTTAGGGTTGAGTCTTGTTATTGTTATTGTTGATTCTTGACCTTCATTGAGTATTCTTATTCTTATTAACTGCAGGGTCTGTATACACTGGTGTTGATTTCTGTAAGAGGTTGTGTGGAGTCTCAGTCGTCAGAAGGTATCTATCAGTCCTATTCTCAAAGTTAAAATCCCTCAGACAACTAAGATGTTAGCATTTTACTTCTTAATATGTCATTATGGAAATATCTACTCTTGGTCATCCATAAGAAGAGGTTGTGTGGAGTCTCAGTCATCAGAAGGCATCTGTCAGTCCTAGTCTCAAAGTTAAAATCCCTCAGGCAACTAAGATGTTAGCATTTTACTTCTTAACATGTCATTGTGGAAATCTCTACTCTTGGTCATCCATAAGAAGAGGTTGTGTGGAGTCTCAGTCGTCAGAAAGCATCTGTCAGTCCTATTCTCAGAGTTAAATCCCTCAGACAACTAATATGTTAGCATTTTACTTCTTAATATGTCATTATGGAAATATCTACTCTTGGTCATCCATAAGAAGAGGTTGTGTGGAGTCTCAGTCGTCAGAAGGCATCTGTCAGTCCTATTCTTAAAGTTAAAATCCCTCAGACAACTAAGATGTTAGCATTTTACTTCTTAATATGTCATTATGGATATATCTACTCTTGGTCATCCATAAGAAGTATTGAAATGAATAAAAGGAAAGATCATTTGTGGATTTAGTCTTTGTAGTTTGTTAAACATTTTTTTTTAATTAAAATCACACAATAAGTATCTAGCAATGTCCTGTTTCATAAGCCTTCAGCAACAAGTCCTTTTTTCCCCTCCTTACTTTGTGTGAATTTATGCTCTTACATTCTTCTTAAAAAATTATTGCTTGGAAAATATTCTGCCCTTGTGTTGATATCTGCTGATGTATTGTCAGTGGGGAGAGTATGGAGAATGCTTTACGAGCATGCTGCAAAGGTATCAAGATTGGCAAAATTCTTATTCATAGAGAAGGGGAAGGGGACAACAGTCAGCAGGTTTTTGCATCTTCTGTGTGGTCTGGGTACATTTCTATGTTTATCACATTTCATGATCCCTGAATTTCCTGAATTTAATGTTGGGCAGCTGATATATGAAAAATTGCCGAATGATATCTCAGATAGGCATGTGTTACTGTTGGATCCCATCCTAGGCACAGGTTTGTCATTCTCATCATGTTCGTACTCCCTTCAGTCCAAAATATAATTCTAGTTTAACTAATTTCATAGGAACTAAGGGAAGGAATTAAAAGTAGTTAACTTGTTAAATTTATCAAGAAATTTTATCACTTTCCGCTGTTACCCTTATTAAATTCAAAGACAACTCTCACACATTTATGTTTTAATTGTAGTCAAGGGCAAATCAAGGAAAAAATATTTGATGTCCTATTATTCATATTGCCAAATTGGACTTAGATTTTGGACCAAAAAAGCTTGTATTTCTTAGCTGCTTTGAAGTTACAATTGGTTTTGATGTATTCTTTTCTGCTGAAAAATGAGTCAGATGCTGTCTGGCATTTACCGAGTGTTCCACACCGTTTAAATAATCTAAGTATATATATATATATATATATATATATTTTGTTCGTCATCTCCACAAATGTATGACCATTATCTTCTGTAGGAAATTCGGCTGTACAAGCAATTTCTTTACTTATAAAAAAGGGTGTACCAGAGTCTAACATCATATTTCTCAATCTCATATCGGTAAGATACTGCTATGTTAGTGATGATACACACATTTTACTGTTCTTTCACCATCATATTTTTCTTTTGCCATAGTGATGATACATACATTTTATTCTCATTTTGCCAGGCACCCCAAGGCGTGCATGTGGTCTGCAAAGCCTTTCCCAGAATAAAAATCGTGACATCTGAGATTGAGTTGGGCCTGAATAAGGACTTCCGTGTCGTACCAGGCATGGGCGAGTTTGGGGACCGGTATTTCGGCACAGATGATGATCAGCAGGTGGTGGTCCCTTCACAGTAGTTATTTTACATATAAAAGACGTTGGAAAAAGGTTGAAATTTGCTGAACTGATGTAGTGATGAAAACCAAAGCTCAGTCTTATGCTCAACTGGGCCTAGAATCATAGTATTGTGACCAAGTTGCCTTGGGTTTACAAACTTAGGTACACGTGTAATTCTTCAAACCGACTTTTAACCTTTCTACTGTACCAGACTTGCGCTTTAGATGTTGGTTTCCTTTCCAGGTACTTTATATCTTGATACATTTAGTTATGAACCTGGAGATGAATGGATATAAATCACTTTGAGTTAATTCCGTCTGTTTTTTACTGCATTTTGGACCCCCAAATTTTGTGCTGGTTGATATACAGCTACTGTAAATCTCAAACCATACGTTGTGCCTGCCAATGAGCACGCTGGTTAGCTTGTGCCAACCAGCCAGGTGCCTGCCTGGCTTGGTAGAGCGATTCAGCTTGGTTCGGCTATTTTTTTGGGCCCCATTTGACCCGACTCAAAATAATGAGGTTGGACCATATTCACTGGGCCGACAAAGCCTGTAAACACTTCTAGCAGAGTCATTGTTTGGGGAAAGCCTTCCTTCTGCACTGGAAGCACTAACATTTGTCGCATAAGATAGTGGGTTCATATTTTTTTGACGAAATTTGAAGAAAAATATATTATTAATAATTTATGGATAGTATGACTGGTAAACTTCGTATTAATTTGGCTGATGTTGATTTTCAGTTGATTAGTTCTCTCATTTCTCTGCTATATGTTGTTTTGTAACATTATTCAAATGATATTTGAAGTTGACAGTCTCTGCACATTTCTCATCGTCTTCATTATGTTTCTCACGCTTGTGATCACTGTATTCTGATTGCTTGAGATTCTAGGAATCTTTGCTCAAAACACGGATTGCATGTTTGATGCACAAAAGTATTTTTCGGAAATGATATTTGAAATGTATTTAGAAGGAAAATAAGCTTAAATGTATTTCCTATTTATTTTTTAGAAAACATATTTCTACCTATCAAACATCGCTTGATTTTAGATTGTAGACGGAAACTGAAGATCCTAGAAACAAGAAAATTGATGTTAATCTATGATTTTTGTGGGTTAAGTGTTTTTTTTTTTTTTTTTTAATGAAAAGAGAGATAATTCATGACCAAGATTGTCAAGACAGTACAAACCAAGAGTTTCTTGGTTTAATGGAACCCTACACCTTGAAAAAGGAAAGTTGTGGGTTCTATATCTCATATGGTTGAGGGGGGCGAGTGTGTTTTTGTGAGTTTGTTGAGTATCTGTGTTATTCCTCAGTTTTGGTATGTATGTGTGTGGAGAGCATTTGTATTTGGACCATTTCCGGGAAAGAAAAAAACAAAGGAAAAAAGAAAAAGAAAGTCAACACATTACAAAATACTATGAGATCTTAGCCCTTCATCATCCATCACAAAGCGATTGTTGATCAAATGCAGCCAAAGTGTTCCAAGCTAAAAAAGTGAGGACAAAAGTTGTTTCTATTATTTTGTAAGGAAAATAATAATAAAATCTTCTTAAATTATACTAATAATAATATTATCTTTTAAAATGTCATAATTTTATTAAAGCTTTTAAAAATATTTGTGTTAATAAATTTTAAAGTGAAAAGACTATTTCAAAGTTTTAAAGCTTAGAATAACAAGTCCTAATTATAATTTTTCTTAAGGAATAATAACTTTTATTCTGTGTGTTGTAAGAGTTGAACGAGAAATTATAACTTTTTAAATATAATTTTTATCATTGAAAAATAAATTCTCAAAATAACCAGCTTCAATCACAATTTTTGTTTAAGAAATAATAATCTTTATTCTGTAAATTATAAGAATTGAATAAGAAATTATAACTTATCAAGTATAATTTTTAATATTGAAAAACAAGTTTTTAAAATAACAAGTCTCAATTATAACTTTTTTTAAGAAATAACAACTTTTATTTCAAAAACCATAACAATTGAATAATAAATCAAGACTTGTTAATAAAAATAAAATGATCTTTTTAATTTAAAATTTACTAATACGGAAGCCTTTAGAAACTTCAGTAGGATTATGTCATTTTAAAAGATAAAATTATTATTTATATAATTTGGGACTTTATTGTCAGTTTTTTTTAATATTGTATGGGCTTCTTTTAGTCCCTATGTTTTGTTTTTCAGCTGAGACAACATGGAGTTTCAAAAATTCAATTCAAAGGAGTTTTTTGGAGCAACGCATCGGCGTCTAGAGATGAAAAGAAACTGTGGGTTGTCTGATCGGTATTGACGGCTGCCAGCAAAATATATATATACATATATACACACAGACATACACATGTATGTATGTACGGTGGGAAGACAAAAGAAAAAAAAATATAAAGCGACAAAAATTAAAGAGAAAGAAAATTAAAGAAGATGCTCAAATGAATGAGCTTTGTCATAGTGTCATTGGACCATAGTTATTAAACTCTTAAATTAATTTTATGAATTTAATATTTTTATATTTTTAATTTATAAAATTATATCAACTTGTTTATAAACTCAAACTATATATAAATTCGATTAAACTCGTGAGTTTACTTTCAAATTTATCATTTTTATGTTTCTCACTTACAAAATTATGTCAGTTAATTTATAAATTCAGATTAGATGCAAGTTTGATTAAACTTGTTAGGCTTGTTAATTTAATTTTATTTTTTGAGTTGAATGTGTTAAGTATATACAGTTCATAAGAGTTATAAAACATGGTTCAAAGAAAAAAAACTTGAAATACAAAAACTAATATTAATAAAAAAATAAAACAAAAAATACTAAAAATAAGTTCCTCTATTTTAAAATTTTTATCTTGTATATAATAATTTATCAATGTAGATGGATTTAACTTCAATAATTTATATTTTTTATATATTTAAATTAAATTATAATTATATTTTAATGACTATTTATTAATAGAGATAAATTTTTATTAGTTTACAATTCAAGTTTGTGATACAAATTTATTTTTTTATCACAAATTTATTTAAATTTATGAATTTAATAACCTTACAGTGGACCCAAAGTCACGGCCTGGAAGTCCTTAGAACGTTGCATAACATAATCACCCGTCATTACCTGATTTTATGTTTTTTTAATTCCAATAACCTGTTTATATATATGTGTGTGAAAAATTAAAGATACAGTAAAACAAAGAAGATACTCCCTCTACTGTCGTAGAAAAACTTACATGTATTTCTTTATTTTTATTTATAAGTAAAATTATAAATTTAAAGAACTATTTTACCCAACTCATCCCTTATAGAGTCAATATTTATTTTTACTAGATAAATTTATTTAATTAATTGTACAGATAATTTAGTGCAATTTTTTTAATTTCAAATATAATTATTTTTCTTAATTAATTATTTTGGAGTAATGTCAAACTTAAACATAAATTTATAGCATACTAAAAAATAAATAGTATGACTGGTTTTCAACCTTCTGTAATCCAATGAGTATTGTTTGGCCAATGATGTTATGACCGAATGGCATGAAAATGTCCGTGCAGGTAAAAGCTAATGGATTCAATTTTATTTGTAATTTTAGGTCGTTGGTGCCTGCCATGTGACTTTAATGAAACTGAAAATAAACTATTATCCTATATATAATTATATATACTTATAAAATTTATAGTTGAATGTTTGTTCCAACTGACAAAATGAAGAAAAAAATTTGAGAAAAACGCATTTAAGACCTTGTGAAAAAATTATTCATAAATAAAAATCAAAATGAAATGAATTACTATTAAATAGTAATACAAATTTTTTTTTTTGCAATGATGACTTGTTATTTTTTTTTGTTTGTAAATAATTTTTTTAAGTCTTTGGATACAATTTTCCCAAACAGATATCCACCCATTAAGAAAGGTGAGGAAAAATACATTTTTTATTTTTATAATTTTACTTTAGTTTTGATTGGATTCTCATAACTTAGTAGTTCATATATATAAATGAATGGATACTTATAATTGATCATTTTTAAAAGCTGACCCGTACTATCAAAGTTATGATGATATTTTATCAAAAGATAAAATATGACAAAATATATGCTACATCATAATTGTGTTAACTCTATGAATTTAATATTTTTAACTTACAAAATCATGTTAACTCATTTATAAATTTAGACTATATACAAACTCAATTAAATTTATAAGTTTACCTTTGAATTTATTATTTTTATGTTTTTAATTTACACAATCGTATCAACTAATTCATAAATTAGGAATAAATACAAACTTGGTTAAACTTGTTCAACTCTTCAAATTTTTTTTTTGAATTGAGCGAGTTAAGTATATATTATGAAGAATTTAATTCATAAAATTTATAAGACCTGATTAAAAAAAAACTTGAAATATAAAAACTAATATTAATAAAAAACAAAAGTAAACACAAAAAATAAGCTTTTCTATTTTAAAATTTTTATGTCTCGCATATGATAATTTATCAATATAGATGAGTTTAATTTTAATTATTTATATTTTTAATATATTTAAATTAAATTATAATCATATTGTGATGGCTATTTATTAATAGAAGTAAATTTTTAAAAGTTTACGATTCAAGTTTGCGATATGAATTTACATTCCTATCACGAATTTACTTAAACTCATGAGTTTAACGACCTTGTACTACGCTACTTTTGTTAAAAAATATAAGACATTTTTAACCAAATATTACTCTCAATAAAGTAGTTATTTGTTTTTAAAATAACACTTTTTTCATATTTATTCTTATTTAATAGGGTATTTCACCCCAAAAAAATATAAAGTAATTTATTCAATAGGGGCACTTTAAAAAAGTAATAATTACACCTTAAAAAATTAAAAATATTTTATATTTTTTAACATTTAATCCCTCAAAAAATATCATATTTTTTGACGGAAGGAGTATATTTTTTTTACTTTAAATATAAATTATTAATATTGAAAACGAACATAAAAAAAGCCAACAAAGTAAGATGTTTAAACCATAAACACTAAATCCTAAAATAAAAATAATCCGAGTAATATAAAGATTAATTAAAAATAAATTTTTGAAAAATAAATTACAAGGGTAGTTTTCAGAAGATAAAGGGCATAAGATAATACTAATTTTAAACAAAATCATGACTACATTAACAATCCATCCCCCCACCCCCCAACAAAAAAAGAAAAAAAGATTAGAAAAGTACATAAAACCTTTCAGCCAATATGACGTGGCTGGTTCTAACAAAACAGGAAAAAAAAAAAAAAGGTTTAAAGTTTATTTGCAGATTCGGGAGGGCTTGCTTTTATAAAAGAGAAGTGCCAACCCACTCAGCCACACAGTGTTTTGAGAATCTCATGTGCTTTCAATTCATCATATTTTCATTCGGGGCGGCAACAAAAGTGATTATATTTTGGTCGATTCTCTTAAATTAATTTAATCACTTTACTCATTTTTATTGTTAAAAGCAAACGAATATCCACCCACAAAAATAAAAATTATTGAGAGCCCATAAGATGAGATTCTTCCTTTGAAATTAATTCAAACACTCAACTTTAGATTTTCGAACAAATGGATAGATGCATTTACTGATTTTTTTACAAAACATTTTTTTTGCCTATCAAACATTGCATGATTATTCATATTGTGGAAGAAAACCGAAGATCCTAGAAACAAGAAAATCGATGTTGTTAAACTATGATTCTTGAGAGTAAAAAGTTATTTTTTAATGAAAAGAAAAATGCATTACCCAGCAAGATTGTCAAGACATTACAAGCTATTCTTGACTCAATGGCACCCCACACCTCTTTAAAAATGGAAAGTTGTGAGTTGTATAATCTACATGGTTAAGGAAGGGGGGCGTGTGAGGAGTGTGGTGAGCATGTGCAAAGCATGATATTTTAGGAGCTGTTCAAAATTATTTTTATTTTATTGTTTTGAGAATTGATGTTTTGTAAAATATATTTTGAGAGTAAAAAAACATAATAAAAATATGTGTTTTTATTTTTTTTTTATTTGTCAGAATAATAATCATATAACACCTAAAAGTTATTTTCATTTTTCTATTCTTTAAAATAATATTTTATTTTTTTATTCTTTAAAACACTTTTTAAAAATACGTTATTAAATAAATTTTTTATTCTCTTATTTTAGAAAACAGAAAACTGTTCACAAAACAGATTTTTAAACAAGCCTTTAGTTTTTCATTATCAACCACCTGTCTACAATAAAGTACTAATTAATCAAAGATATATAAATTATCAATCAAGTTCAAAACATTTCTTGCTAAAAAGTGAGTATAAAAATTATTGGGAGAACACATTGAAGAACCATTCAAAAAATTTATTTCACAAACAAAGATTAATACAAAATAGATTATTATTAAAATGAAAACATAAACTTATTATTTTTTAAATTAGATTTGTTACTGATTTTTGTCTGTGAATAAGTTTTTTAAGTGATCTTTTGATGGATTCTTCCAAAATTATTTTTATTAGATTATATGGGCTTTTTTAGTCTGTGTTTTATTTTTATTTTTTAGCTGAGATAATATGGAGTTTCAAAACTTCAATTCAAAGAAGAGTTTGTTAGATCAACACATTGGCGTTCTAGAGATGAAAAGCAAAACAAAGGAAAAAAAAAAAACGATGAGCCCTGTCATTAGCAGCTGCCAGAAAGTGCGTGTGTATTACTCGTTATAAAATATTTTTAAATAAAATCTTACATATTAATAAAATTTATTAAATATATTTAATAATTTTATCTTTTTAAAATAAAAATATAAAATTTTTAAAATATCCATTATTTAATATATTAAAAAAATGAATGAAAATTAATTATAGAAAGAGAAAATGTAATATTAAAATTGATGTATTTAATAAAATTTTAATTTACTTAAAGTGTTTTATATTTTAAAATAAAAAAACTTTTTAAAAAATTTTTTATAATTTAAAATGAAAGAAGTAATATATATACATAGGGGAAGACAAAAAGGGGGTGAAAACGACAAAAATTAAAAAGAGAGAAAATTAAAGAAGATGCTCGAATCAAAATGGATGAGTCCTGTTGTTGGACGCTCATCGCTGTTTGGAAGTCGTTAGAATCGTCGCACACTCACCCGCCATTACCCGATTCTATGTTTTTTTTTTTTTTTTCAATAACGTAACTTGAAAAATTAAAGATACAGTAAAACAAAAATGACAATGTCAAACTTAAACATAAATGTATAGTATACTAAAAAATAATAGTATGACTGGTTTTCAACCTTTTGTAATCCAATGAGTTCACTATTTACTATCTTTAGTTATTAAGATATATTATTTTTTGGCCAATGATATTGTGACCAAATAGCATGAAAATGTTCTTGCAACTTGCAAGTAAAAACTATTCTACGTTCATATATATATATATATAAAAGATATTTTTTAAAAGTTTATTTTATTTTTAAATATAAGAAGTATTATGATGTTTCTGAATAATTAGACAATTATTCTTGTCTTACAAAATGAAAAATATTAATTATGTGCTTTTTCCATCACTATTACAATATTAATTGTGACACTATTAGAAGTAAAATTTAAAAAACTATTGTAATTATGTGTGATTCCAACTACATAATAATTTTTATTGATGTATGAGATTCAATTAAAAATATTTTTTATATAATAAGGGAGGGAGTAATTGATTCAATTTTACTTATAATTTTAGATTGTTAATGCGTGCCTTTCTCAACTCAATTAAAAAAGATATTCTTGTTTGATGTGATTTTAATTAATTTGATAATCAACTATTATGCTATGTACATTTACTTATAAAATTTATGGTTGTTGGCAAAAGAAAACTTATAAAATTTATAGTTGAATGTCTGTTACGACTGACAAAATGAGGAAAAATGTATCAGCCATTAAGAAAGGTGAGGAAAAATACATTTTTTATTTTTTTATAATTTTACTTAAGTTTTAATTTGATTATTATAACTTTCTATTTCAATTTTCTTTTTGGTGAAAAACTTTGTAGTTCATATTTATAAATGAATTAGATACTTATAATGGATTATTTTTAAAATCTAACCTCTATCATCAAAGTTATGATAACATTTTATTAAAATAGAAAATATGGCTAGGTATATATTCTATGTCAGTAAAAAAAAGGATCTATATTTGTAATTTAAATATAAATAGGTGGTATTGAAAATAAAGAAAAATATAAACACCAAATAAGATGTTGAAAGTTTAAACCATAAACCCTAAGATAAAAATAATCCGAGTAAAATTAAGAATAATTAAAAATAATTTTTCAAAAATATAAATTACAAGGGTTGGTTTTCAGAAGATAAAAGGCATAAGATTATACTAATTTTAGACAAAATCATGAATAGATTTAAAGTTCAATTGCAGATTTGGAGGGTTGCTTTTACAAAAGGGAAGTGCCAGCCAAAGTTCCAACCTACTCAGCAACACTGAGATTTGAGAATCTCGTGTGCTTTCAATTCATCATATTTTCATTTGGGGCGGCAACAAAAGTGATTATATTTTGGTCGATTCTCTTATATTAATTTAATCACTTTACTCATTTTTATTGTTAAATGCAAATGAATATCCACCCAGACACAAAAAAAAAATATTATTGAGAGCCCATGTCCCATAAGATGAGATTCTTCCTTTAAAATTCTGAACAAATAAATTATAAAAAATAAAAAATATATATAATTTAACTAATTTAAATTAAACTTAGAGAAATTTTTTTTTTTGAACTACCAAATCATCCCTTTCTTAGACTAATTATTTTGTCACTTGGGGTCATCTTCAAAACGCACATTTTCGAGGTCCTGTGTTCAAATTCAAGTGATATAAATTAAAGCAAAATATGGGTAAATAGTTTGAGATGTAGACACTTCTAATATAATTATATAATAAACAACAAAAGATTTAGAAAATTAGGGAGCAGTGCCATGTTATTGACGGGCATGAAAAATAGAAAAAAATACTTTTATAAATATCACATATATTTATTTAAATAAAATAAATTCAATCAAATGATATAAATATTATATATATATCTAAATTAATCATCTAATTTCTATAATTGTAATTCAATTCATATAATTTTAACTTGGTATGATTCAATTTAAATAGTTTAATTTAATTTTAATTCAATTTTTAAAATTTTAGTGAGTAGTAATCTTTTAAAATATTAATCTTTAAATTTTAATAAAAATTTTATTCTTTATAAATTTATTTTGTAATAGAGACAATGGCAAAAAAAAAACAGAGAGAGACAACTAAAACAATAGATTAAAGGAATTAAATGATTAATTTTTCATTATATATATATTTGACTTCTTAAAAATAGTTTTTATTTTAGATCTAGCACTCTAATCACCGGCGCCGTCTGGTCAGGTCGGAAACTATTTAAGGTCGGGACCGTTCGCTGCGTTTCATCTCTGGATTGAACTCCGTCAATTCAAATTCAAATTTGAAGCAAAAGAAATTCCATTTTTTGTTAGTCATCAATCTATCTTTCTTCTTCTTTCTTATGCATATCAATTATCAAACAGTTGACTGAATCATTCTTCCACACACTCGTATTAAATTTCACATTTAACAGTATATCCAGGATCTATCATTTCTCTTCTATGTCTAAAATTCTAAATCCACATTAGAAACTTACAAGAAAGCAGCAGATTTTTACAGACAAAAATCATCTTCATCGCTTTGTTATGCATATTCTGGTTATTAGAACTCCAGTCGGTGGACCAGTCATCTCGATCTGGCAAGTGCTATGGATCCGGAAAGACAAATGGATGAAACCAACAATGGCTCTTACTTTAAAGGTTGCCCTCACGTTGCAGTTCACCCTGTTGCTCTGAACCTGCCTTTGAAGCTTTATCCCTAGATCCTCAGGCAGAAACACCAAGCTTGAGATGAAGTGAATCGGTTGCAACCTGGTTTGCCTTCGCCTCTGCGTGAACGGCTGAATCGCCTGACTGGATATGACTCTGTCTGCGAAGAAAAGCTCAATGTCGCCAGATTCAAATCTCACGTCGATTTTCCTATTAGGATTCGTGAAATTCGCGAGCAGGACAAAATCTCCGTTCAGATACTGTGGAGAGTCGAAGTACACGACTTTGAGGCTCGCATTGGGGATGTCGAAAATAGGGTTTCGCGGTTTAACGGTGAGGAAGATGATCAGCGTTGCGATTCCAAAGACGATGAGGATGACGCTGAATATGAGGCACAAAACTGCAGCAAACCATACTACTGGGTTCGTTCGTCGAACTCTTGGATGCCTCAGTGTTGTTGGTTGTCTACTATACTGTTTTGTGGCAAAATTTGGTGATTCTAATTCCACACAACTTTGGTTTCTGGATTGTATTGATCCTGCGATTTGGTCATTAGAATTTGGCTTGAGTGGCTTTGTGGGTGGGGATGGAGATTCTGGATGAGGTGAGAGATGATCAGGCATACTTGAGTAAAGTACTAGAAAGAGCTGCAAATTATTACAGCAAAATTGAAGAAGCAGATAATGAAAGTGAAGTTCATGGAGATGAAAAAGAGGATGGATATGTTAATTTATTCCTTTGGGGTGGTGGGCTAAGGAAGGTGAAGAGGGAAAAGAAGCTTTTAAATTGGGTGGCAATGGTGGCAGCGGTGGGGTCACTCTTTTTCTGGGTACTGGCAAAAGGTATGAGGGAGTGGGAACAGGTGAGAGCTACAGTGAAGGCCAAATCAGCGTTTGGGTTTTTTTCACTTTCGAATGTTTTGCTTTTGGTGCAGAGCTATGGCTGAGAAAAGTCATAAAGAAGAGTTAGTTCAACAGAGAATTCTCGTCCTTTTATTGCTCTTGCTTTTAAGTTCTGAAGTTTGTGTTTGACTGGGCAATGTTTTAGGGTAATCTGCGAAACCGGTCAATTCAATGAAGGGCTTAGATCAAGCTTGTTTACCATTTATTATATAGTGTTGCTTCATGATATCAAAACTCGTGTCCTTGGATGCGTAGGTTGATTAATCACTAAGAAATTGTTTTGACCCAAAAAAAAAAAAAAGTCACCATGGAATTGCACGCAATTCGGAAGGTGAATCATCTGGAATACGACTCTCAATCAATCTTCAATCATGGCGATTCAGGCCGCAGACCAGAAAGAGCCATCGGACAAAGATGGAAAAAATGATAATAAATTTTTTTTAAAATAATAATTTAATTTTTTTAAATATTTTTTGTTATATAAATTATAAAAGTTGAATAAGAAATCACAATTTATCAAATATAATTTTTATTATTAAAAAAAAGTTTTCAAAATGATAAACTTTTATCACAACTTTTTTTAAGAAATAATAATTTTTATGTAAAGAATCATAAAAATTAAATAAAAAATTATAATTTATTAATAAAAGTAAAATGATATTTTCACTTTAAAATTTATCGACACATAAATTTTTAAAAAATTTAGTGAAATCATAACATTTAAAGAGATCAAAGTATCATTTATATAATTCAAAAAATTTTACTGTGATTTTTCCTTGTTAATATTTCATTCCATGTTAGATGAGAATGACAATCCAAAAATATATATATATTAATCATAGTTAGGTCCTTAATACATTTTTTTTTAAAAAATTAGTTTTTAATATCAATTCAAACTGTTGTAAATTTAAAATTTTCAATTTCAAATACGATATTTGAATTCTAAATCACAATCAATTTGCAATTAGTATTCCTATTTATAATTATTTAAATTGATATTTATAATTTACTTTATAAAAAATTTTGTTGGAGACTTAACAGTAATTAGTTTATCTTTTTTTGGACCTTTACTGTCATTCTTCCTACTTTTTATTTAGAATTGATAATATGTGTTGGATTCGTTGGACTATCTATTTTTTTTTTAAAGATTGGGTCTTGAAAATTTAAATTTTTTGAAAAAATCACAATTAAAAATCCCTATATTGTTATATTTGTAAAAAAAGATTAAAAAATTTTGAAATCGCTCTGCAAGATTAAATGACCAAAACATAATTTAAATTTATTGTAAAATTACAAAGCTACCCCTCATTTATTTATTTTATTTTTTCACTATCATCGACTGTCAAAGCTCGAGCAGTGGCCCCTTAGGCTCCAACACTTGCAAAGGTGACAAATTAATTTTTGTTTTTAAAGGTGGCTAAGGGAACTTTGATTCCACAACTCTTGGTCACTAAAAGAAATGCTAGCCTTTGAGTTAGCAATGCCTTTTAATCATATAATACAAATTTTGATATAAATTATCAACTCTGTTCTAACTTTTCAAGTTAATATTTATCAAGAGTTTAATAATTATTTATCATTTTATAAATGACTACTTGTTAAGTTATTAATAAAATTTGTTAAAAATTTAATATATATTAGTTTTTATAAACATTTACATGTTTTTATTATAAAAATTTACATGTCAAAAGCTTATATAAATTTGTTATTTTATCAAAATTTACCTTGATAAATTATTAAGAAAAATTGTCAAAAATTAGTGATGGCACTTGTCATTTTACAAATAATTATATTAAATTACTAATAAGAATTTATTAAAAAAAATTATTCACTGATTTTTATTAATGTTTAATTATTTTTATTATCAAAAATTTATTTGAAAAATAGCTTTTGTAAACTTTTTATTTTACTAAAATTTATTTGTTAAATTATTAAAAAAAATTGTTAAAGTTAGTAACAAGACTCATCATTTTATAAATAATTACTTATTAAATTATTAATGGAGATTTGATAAAAAAATTTATTATACACAGGTTTTTTATAAATATTAACTTATTTTTATTACTAAAAGTTTACTTATATGTGAACATTTTATTTTACTAAAATTTATTTGTTGAGTTATTAAGGAAAATTGTCAAAGTTAGTAACAGAACTTATTATTTTATAAACAATTTTTTATTAATTTAATAATGGGGATTTGTTGAAAAAATTATCATACACTTTTTTTTTATAAATGTTTGTTGTTTTTATTATCGAAAATTTATTTGTGAACTTTTTATTTTACTAAAAATTACTTATCAAATTATTAAGAAAATTGTCAAAGTTAGTAATAAAACTTGTGATTTCACAAATTATTACTTATTAAATTACTAATAGGAACTTATTAAATAAATTTAGTATACATTGATTTTTATAATTTTTACTTGTTTTTATCACTAAAAGTTTACTTGTAAAAAAGCTTATATGAACTTTTTATTAAAATTGATTTATTAAATTATTAATAAAAATTGTCAAAGTTAGTAATAGAACTTATAATTCCATAAATTGTTGCTTGTTAAATTATTAATGAAGCTTATTAAAAAATTTATTATACATTGGTTTTTTATAAATGTTTACTTATCAAATGTTTACTTGTTAAAAAAACTTTGTTTACTTCTGACAAGTGTACATTTGATAGCAAAAGCAAGGAAATATTTATAAAAATCAATACATATTAAATTTTTTTAATAAATCTCATTAGTAATTTAATAAATAGTTATTTGTGAAATAACAAATCACCCTTAAAGTCCTAATAAGTATTGGCTTGAAAAGTTAAAATTGAGTTGGTAATATATATAAAACTTTGCTTTATATGATTAAGAGGCATTATTAGCTTAGTTTCTAGCATTTTTGTCACCTTTGACGGAGCTCTAGTTGCCAGCAATTTGTCTCATGGGTGGCACCGGTGATAACATTCAGGCTGTCAGTGACAATGGGAGAATATTTTAAAGAAAATAAATGAGAGGTGGTTTTGTAATCTCAAAATGAATGTTAATTACATTTTAGTTCCTTAGTCCTATAGAGCAATTTCGGAATTTGTTTTCTTTTGTCTATATACGAATGTAGGCTTTGATAAACTCAAAACCTACTTAAAGACTTTGAACTTTAAATTTAAAAGCTTTTTTAAAGGCCTACATAAATACAACATATGAAGTAGGCATTTAAAAAGATTTCAGGCCAAGTCAGGCCTATCTTAAGCTTAGGCTTGAACATAAGAAAAGCTCACATATAAGTTCAAACTTAGGCTCAAACTTGAGACCTATGTTAGAGGCTCATGATTATTTGATTAAAGACTGGCCTGGCCTGACCTATTCCTATTTCTATATATAAATATTTTTTATTAGAGATAATTCTATTTGAAAAAATATCAGGCACTAAATATGGGTACATTTTTTAATAAAAATTTAAACTTTAATTTATCACATTGCAAGGAGCTAATTTTTTTAGCTAAATCCAACCCTTGTTATTAGAGTCTTTTTTTAATTAAAAAAATTACCTTACTTTTGTAAACTCAAAAAAAAGGCCTGGACTTCCCGTTTAACCTTACTTTTATTTCTTCAATTTTAAAGTATGCTAAAAAACTAAAGTTTGATTTTTTTTGGTTACTCACAAATATATTCCTATTAAAGATAATTTTATTTGAAATGGTGTCAAACACTAAATGTGGATATCCCTTTTAACAAGAATTCAAACATTAATTCTTTAAATTATAAGGGATTAGCCCTTTCTATTAGCTCTAACTTCATTTAGTCGTTTCTATTAGCTCTAACTTTATTTGGCCTTTTCTATTGGCTCTAACCTCATTAGTATAATTTTTGAATATAAAAGAATTGTTGAACCCGCAAAAAAAGGCTTGGACTAAAGTTTGGATTTTGAAATAAGTAGAAAATGCTGCCACGATAGAAAACGTTTAACGAATGCATATACCAATGAAAAGATTCCCATTACATACATAAAAAAGAAAAAGAAAAAGAAAAAGTAATCTTACCAAGTATATAAACGAATTAGACTAATTCCATACGTATATTTAAATGTGTACTTTTAGGTTTATTGTATATTTTACGTGATTGAAATACTTTAATAACAAATAAATATGTAAATAGGTTAAGTTATTAATTATTTCACAAAAATTAAGTCATGGGGAAATATTGTTAATAAAATATAAGCAATATGTAAACATGTAAAAATGTTTAATTGATGCGCTTATCATATATTAATTGGACTTTCTTTTTGACTTGAGTGATAATATCTTAAACATTTTAATTTGGTTAGACATTTATTTTTCATCCTTTAGAGTTTGGATATGTTTGGCAAAAAAAGTGTTTGAACACCTGTTGTAATAATAAATTGGGTTAAATGATAATTTGGCATAAGGTTTAAGATTCTAAATTTATTTTTGATATGATATTCACATTCAACATTTGAAAATTATATAATATCCCACCTATGATTAATAAATATTAAATTTAACAGTTAGTTCATCAAAAAAATGAAAGAAAAAGACTTAAAAAGATTAGAGAAAATATAATTTTTATATGATATTTATTTAAAATTTTGAGTATTTTTTATAATTTTTAAAATTATTTTTTTATAATTTTATGATCAATTAAAGTTAAAGTTAAATTTGATTAATAGTAAAGGTGGCATTGGATTGTTTTTAAACATTTAAAGAGACTATTGCATCAAAAAGAAAATTAAGATCCAAATTTCTGTGCTTATAATTAAGGGTCGTCAATTGCTTTTCTGCCTCATGCCTCGTAATCTCGTATTAAATATTACTTTTATTTAATTTGATCACTTGTTTGAATTAGGACTGTATAAAAAATTGGACGATACTAGATTTCAGCCTAATTTAAAATTTAGTCTCTTTTATAAAAAAGATTGAGTTAGGCAACTCGTAATCCGATCTTATTCAGTGATAATCTGAAGATTAGCAAGATAGAACTTCGTCCATAAGATTGAGAGACTAATTTTATTAATTCAGTACTCACTTAGCTTTTTTTTTTTCCTCCATGAGAGACAATAATCAATTTTAACTTAATAAACTCAATTAAAATAGTAAAAACACTTACAACAATAATAAATCTATAATAATTTTTAACAAAAAAATATTTTTGTTATAATTCAAATAATTTAAATTTATAATTTCAAAAAAAAAACACTCAACAAACTTCAGCAATAATTTAAAAGCAAATTCAATAAATTTTCATACAATTATTTCTTTAAGGTCAACTATACTTGAAACATTTATTAAAAATAAATGAATTATAATTATATTAATTAAATTAACAGGATCAGATTAGATCAAGTGATTTAAATGCTCAATCTCCTATCTAATCTAACCTAAAAAACTAATCTGATTTTTTTAATTCTTTTAATTTTAAAAGATAAGTGTTTATATAAATTAAATAGAACTGGATCATTTTAAATTAAATTGAATCAGATAAGATTAAAAGACTTTTGTACCATCTAAAAGTTCGAATGGCTCAACGCACGCTACTTCCTTCTGACCTTCACCTCTTTCCTCAGTTGCAGGATTTAATGCTTTTAGCCGTACAGAGCGTCACCTGCTCGCCTGTTAGTGCTGGGAATCATAACGATAAATAATAAAAAACAATATTAGGGGCTAAGTGACTTAAGTCAAGTCAAATAAGCCTAAGTTCGAGATCGATCTCTCTCTCTCTCTCTCTCTCTCTCTCTCTCTCTGTATATATATATATATATTGTCATTTTTAGAAGTTTTATTCAAGCCCAGCTCCATTAACAGATTCCGGACAAAACAAGCTGGTCTTGTGGGGCTGACCTAAATTTCCAACTCAGGTGCGGCCTCATTGTTAAATTTTCATTTGAAATTTTAAAACTTTTAGTGTGTGTTTGATTTTTAATTTATCAAAAGTTAGTTTAGTAAAAATTAATTGTTATAATAAAATTTATATTTAAATATATTTTTTTAAAAGTCAATTTGATACGCTAAAAGTTGTTTAAATTAAAATAGTAAAATGTGCTTTTGAATGTACAATTATCAAAAAAGATATTAATTTATAATGATTTATAATTTTTATCATGCAAATAAAATATGTTTAAAATATTTAAAAAATATGATAAAGATTTTAAATAATATAAAATTTGATCTATAATGCTAAAAATTTAATTTCTGGTTATTTATACCTTTTTAATTTGTAATTTTAGAAAATATGATAAAAATTTGTGATTTTTAGTATACATTAATGCTAAAAATTAACATAATTAATTATTCAATTTATGATGCTAAAAACTTGATACTTAATTATTATTATTAAAATAATAATTATATTTTAATGAATTAACTATTTTTTAAATAAAATAATAAGATATTAAACTTGGACTTAGATTTTGGACCAAAAAAGCTTGTATTTCTTAGCTGCTTTGAAGTTACAATTGGTTTTGATGTATTCTTTTCTGCTGAAAAATGAGTCAGATGCTGTCTGGCATTTACCGAGTGTTCCACACCGTTTAAATAATCTAAGTATATATATATATATATATATATATATTTTGTTCGTCATCTCCACAAATGTATGACCATTATCTTCTGTAGGAAATTCGGCTGTACAAGCAATTTCTTTACTTATAAAAAAGGGTGTACCAGAGTCTAACATCATATTTCTCAATCTCATATCGGTAAGATACTGCTATGTTAGTGATGATACACACATTTTACTGTTCTTTCACCATCATATTTTTCTTTTGCCATAGTGATGATACATACATTTTATTCTCATTTTGCCAGGCACCCCAAGGCGTGCATGTGGTCTGCAAAGCCTTTCCCAGAATAAAAATCGTGACATCTGAGATTGAGTTGGGCCTGAATAAGGACTTCCGTGTCGTACCAGGCATGGGCGAGTTTGGGGACCGGTATTTCGGCACAGATGATGATCAGCAGGTGGTGGTCCCTTCACAGTAGTTATTTTACATATAAAAGACGTTGGAAAAAGGTTGAAATTTGCTGAACTGATGTAGTGATGAAAACCAAAGCTCAGTCTTATGCTCAACTGGGCCTAGAATCATAGTATTGTGACCAAGTTGCCTTGGGTTTACAAACTTAGGTACACGTGTAATTCTTCAAACCGACTTTTAACCTTTCTACTGTACCAGACTTGCGCTTTAGATGTTGGTTTCCTTTCCAGGTACTTTATATCTTGATACATTTAGTTATGAACCTGGAGATGAATGGATATAAATCACTTTGAGTTAATTCCGTCTGTTTTTTACTGCATTTTGGACCCCCAAATTTTGTGCTGGTTGATATACAGCTACTGTAAATCTCAAACCATACGTTGTGCCTGCCAATGAGCACGCTGGTTAGCTTGTGCCAACCAGCCAGGTGCCTGCCTGGCTTGGTAGAGCGATTCAGCTTGGTTCGGCTATTTTTTTGGGCCCCATTTGACCCGACTCAAAATAATGAGGTTGGACCATATTCACTGGGCCGACAAAGCCTGTAAACACTTCTAGCAGAGTCATTGTTTGGGGAAAGCCTTCCTTCTGCACTGGAAGCACTAACATTTGTCGCATAAGATAGTGGGTTCATATTTTTTTGACGAAATTTGAAGAAAAATATATTATTAATAATTTATGGATAGTATGACTGGTAAACTTCGTATTAATTTGGCTGATGTTGATTTTCAGTTGATTAGTTCTCTCATTTCTCTGCTATATGTTGTTTTGTAACATTATTCAAATGATATTTGAAGTTGACAGTCTCTGCACATTTCTCATCGTCTTCATTATGTTTCTCACGCTTGTGATCACTGTATTCTGATTGCTTGAGATTCTAGGAATCTTTGCTCAAAACACGGATTGCATGTTTGATGCACAAAAGTATTTTTCGGAAATGATATTTGAAATGTATTTAGAAGGAAAATAAGCTTAAATGTATTTCCTATTTATTTTTTAGAAAACATATTTCTACCTATCAAACATCGCTTGATTTTAGATTGTAGACGGAAACTGAAGATCCTAGAAACAAGAAAATTGATGTTAATCTATGATTTTTGTGGGTTAAGTGTTTTTTTTGTTTTTTTTTTAATAATGAAAAGAGAGATAATTCATGACCAAGATTGTCAAGACAGTACAAACCAAGAGTTTCTTGGTTTAATGGAACCCTACACCTTGAAAAAGGAAAGTTGTGGGTTCTATATCTCATATGGTTGAGGGGGGCGAGTGTGTTTTTGTGAGTTTGTTGAGTATCTGTGTTATTCCTCAGTTTTGGTATGTATGTGTGTGGAGAGCATTTGTATTTGGACCATTTCCGGGAAAGAAAAAAACAAAGGAAAAAAGAAAAAGAAAGTCAACACATTACAAAATACTATGAGATCTTAGCCCTTCATCATCCATCACAAAGCGATTGTTGATCAAATGCAGCCAAAGTGTTCCAAGCTAAAAAAGTGAGGACAAAAGTTGTTTCTATTATTTTGTAAGGAAAATAATAATAAAATCTTCTTAAATTATACTAATAATAATATTATCTTTTAAAATGTCATAATTTTATTAAAGCTTTTAAAAATATTTGTGTTAATAAATTTTAAAGTGAAAAGACTATTTCAAAGTTTTAAAGCTTAGAATAACAAGTCCTAATTATAATTTTTCTTAAGGAATAATAACTTTTATTCTGTGTGTTGTAAGAGTTGAACGAGAAATTATAACTTTTTAAATATAATTTTTATCATTGAAAAATAAATTCTCAAAATAACCAGCTTCAATCACAATTTTTGTTTAAGAAATAATAATCTTTATTCTGTAAATTATAAGAATTGAATAAGAAATTATAACTTATCAAGTATAATTTTTAATATTGAAAAACAAGTTTTTAAAATAACAAGTCTCAATTATAACTTTTTTTAAGAAATAACAACTTTTATTTCAAAAACCATAACAATTGAATAATAAATCAAGACTTGTTAATAAAAATAAAATGATCTTTTTAATTTAAAATTTACTAATACGGAAGCCTTTAGAAACTTCAGTAGGATTATGTCATTTTAAAAGATAAAATTATTATTTATATAATTTGGGACTTTATTGTCAGTTTTTTTTAATATTGTATGGGCTTCTTTTAGTCCCTATGTTTTGTTTTTCAGCTGAGACAACATGGAGTTTCAAAAATTCAATTCAAAGGAGTTTTTTGGAGCAACGCATCGGCGTCTAGAGATGAAAAGAAACTGTGGGTTGTCTGATCGGTATTGACGGCTGCCAGCAAAATATATATATACATATATACACACAGACATACACATGTATGTATGTACGGTGGGAAGACAAAAGAAAAAAAAATATAAAGCGACAAAAATTAAAGAGAAAGAAAATTAAAGAAGATGCTCAAATGAATGAGCTTTGTCATAGTGTCATTGGACCATAGTTATTAAACTCTTAAATTAATTTTATGAATTTAATATTTTTATATTTTTAATTTATAAAATTATATCAACTTGTTTATAAACTCAAACTATATATAAATTCGATTAAACTCGTGAGTTTACTTTCAAATTTATCATTTTTATGTTTCTCACTTACAAAATTATGTCAGTTAATTTATAAATTCAGATTAGATGCAAGTTTGATTAAACTTGTTAGGCTTGTTAATTTAATTTTATTTTTTGAGTTGAATGTGTTAAGTATATACAGTTCATAAGAGTTATAAAACATGGTTCAAAGAAAAAAAACTTGAAATACAAAAACTAATATTAATAAAAAAATAAAACAAAAAATACTAAAAATAAGTTCCTCTATTTTAAAATTTTTATCTTGTATATAATAATTTATCAATGTAGATGGATTTAACTTCAATAATTTATATTTTTTATATATTTAAATTAAATTATAATTATATTTTAATGACTATTTATTAATAGAGATAAATTTTTATTAGTTTACAATTCAAGTTTGTGATACAAATTTATTTTTTTATCACAAATTTATTTAAATTTATGAATTTAATAACCTTACAGTGGACCCAAAGTCACGGCCTGGAAGTCCTTAGAACGTTGCATAACATAATCACCCGTCATTACCTGATTTTATGTTTTTTTAATTCCAATAACCTGTTTATATATATGTGTGTGAAAAATTAAAGATACAGTAAAACAAAGAAGATACTCCCTCTACTGTCGTAGAAAAACTTACATGTATTTCTTTATTTTTATTTATAAGTAAAATTATAAATTTAAAGAACTATTTTACCCAACTCATCCCTTATAGAGTCAATATTTATTTTTACTAGATAAATTTATTTAATTAATTGTACAGATAATTTAGTGCAATTTTTTTAATTTCAAATATAATTATTTTTCTTAATTAATTATTTTGGAGTAATGTCAAACTTAAACATAAATTTATAGCATACTAAAAAATAAATAGTATGACTGGTTTTCAACCTTCTGTAATCCAATGAGTATTGTTTGGCCAATGATGTTATGACCGAATGGCATGAAAATGTCCGTGCAGGTAAAAGCTAATGGATTCAATTTTATTTGTAATTTTAGGTCGTTGGTGCCTGCCATGTGACTTTAATGAAACTGAAAATAAACTATTATCCTATATATAATTATATATACTTATAAAATTTATAGTTGAATGTTTGTTCCAACTGACAAAATGAAGAAAAAAATTTGAGAAAAACGCATTTAAGACCTTGTGAAAAAATTATTCATAAATAAAAATCAAAATGAAATGAATTACTATTAAATAGTAATACAAATTTTTTTTTTTGCAATGATGACTTGTTATTTTTTTTTGTTTGTAAATAATTTTTTTAAGTCTTTGGATACAATTTTCCCAAACAGATATCCACCCATTAAGAAAGGTGAGGAAAAATACATTTTTTATTTTTATAATTTTACTTTAGTTTTGATTGGATTCTCATAACTTAGTAGTTCATATATATAAATGAATGGATACTTATAATTGATCATTTTTAAAAGCTGACCCGTACTATCAAAGTTATGATGATATTTTATCAAAAGATAAAATATGACAAAATATATGCTACATCATAATTGTGTTAACTCTATGAATTTAATATTTTTAACTTACAAAATCATGTTAACTCATTTATAAATTTAGACTATATACAAACTCAATTAAATTTATAAGTTTACCTTTGAATTTATTATTTTTATGTTTTTAATTTACACAATCGTATCAACTAATTCATAAATTAGGAATAAATACAAACTTGGTTAAACTTGTTCAACTCTTCAAATTTTTTTTTTTGAATTGAGCGAGTTAAGTATATATTATGAAGAATTTAATTCATAAAATTTATAAGACCTGATTAAAAAAAAACTTGAAATATAAAAACTAATATTAATAAAAAACAAAAGTAAACACAAAAAATAAGCTTTTCTATTTTAAAATTTTTATGTCTCGCATATGATAATTTATCAATATAGATGAGTTTAATTTTAATTATTTATATTTTTAATATATTTAAATTAAATTATAATCATATTGTGATGGCTATTTATTAATAGAAGTAAATTTTTAAAAGTTTACGATTCAAGTTTGCGATATGAATTTACATTCCTATCACGAATTTACTTAAACTCATGAGTTTAACGACCTTGTACTACGCTACTTTTGTTAAAAAATATAAGACATTTTTAACCAAATATTACTCTCAATAAAGTAGTTATTTGTTTTTAAAATAACACTTTTTTCATATTTATTCTTATTTAATAGGGTATTTCACCCCAAAAAAATATAAAGTAATTTATTCAATAGGGGCACTTTAAAAAAGTAATAATTACACCTTAAAAAATTAAAAATATTTTATATTTTTTAACATTTAATCCCTCAAAAAATATCATATTTTTTGACGGAAGGAGTATATTTTTTTTACTTTAAATATAAATTATTAATATTGAAAACGAACATAAAAAAAGCCAACAAAGTAAGATGTTTAAACCATAAACACTAAATCCTAAAATAAAAATAATCCGAGTAATATAAAGATTAATTAAAAATAAATTTTTGAAAAATAAATTACAAGGGTAGTTTTCAGAAGATAAAGGGCATAAGATAATACTAATTTTAAACAAAATCATGACTACATTAACAATCCATCCCCCCACCCCCCAACAAAAAAAAGAAAAAAAGATTAGAAAAGTACATAAAACCTTTCAGCCAATATGACGTGGCTGGTTCTAACAAAACAGGAAAAAAAAAAAAAAGGTTTAAAGTTTATTTGCAGATTCGGGAGGGCTTGCTTTTATAAAAGAGAAGTGCCAACCCACTCAGCCACACAGTGTTTTGAGAATCTCATGTGCTTTCAATTCATCATATTTTCATTCGGGGCGGCAACAAAAGTGATTATATTTTGGTCGATTCTCTTAAATTAATTTAATCACTTTACTCATTTTTATTGTTAAAAGCAAACGAATATCCACCCACAAAAATAAAAATTATTGAGAGCCCATAAGATGAGATTCTTCCTTTGAAATTAATTCAAACACTCAACTTTAGATTTTCGAACAAATGGATAGATGCATTTACTGATTTTTTTACAAAACATTTTTTTTGCCTATCAAACATTGCATGATTATTCATATTGTGGAAGAAAACCGAAGATCCTAGAAACAAGAAAATCGATGTTGTTAAACTATGATTCTTGAGAGTAAAAAGTTATTTTTTTAATGAAAAGAAAAATGCATTACCCAGCAAGATTGTCAAGACATTACAAGCTATTCTTGACTCAATGGCACCCCACACCTCTTTAAAAATGGAAAGTTGTGAGTTGTATAATCTACATGGTTAAGGAAGGGGGGCGTGTGAGGAGTGTGGTGAGCATGTGCAAAGCATGATATTTTAGGAGCTGTTCAAAATTATTTTTATTTTATTGTTTTGAGAATTGATGTTTTGTAAAATATATTTTGAGAGTAAAAAAACATAATAAAAATATGTGTTTTTATTTTTTTTTTTATTTGTCAGAATAATAATCATATAACACCTAAAAGTTATTTTCATTTTTCTATTCTTTAAAATAATATTTTATTTTTTTATTCTTTAAAACACTTTTTAAAAATACGTTATTAAATAAATTTTTTATTCTCTTATTTTAGAAAACAGAAAACTGTTCACAAAACAGATTTTTAAACAAGCCTTTAGTTTTTCATTATCAACCACCTGTCTACAATAAAGTACTAATTAATCAAAGATATATAAATTATCAATCAAGTTCAAAACATTTCTTGCTAAAAAGTGAGTATAAAAATTATTGGGAGAACACATTGAAGAACCATTCAAAAAATTTATTTCACAAACAAAGATTAATACAAAATAGATTATTATTAAAATGAAAACATAAACTTATTATTTTTTAAATTAGATTTGTTACTGATTTTTGTCTGTGAATAAGTTTTTTAAGTGATCTTTTGATGGATTCTTCCAAAATTATTTTTATTAGATTATATGGGCTTTTTTAGTCTGTGTTTTATTTTTATTTTTTAGCTGAGATAATATGGAGTTTCAAAACTTCAATTCAAAGAAGAGTTTGTTAGATCAACACATTGGCGTTCTAGAGATGAAAAGCAAAACAAAGGAAAAAAAAAAAACGATGAGCCCTGTCATTAGCAGCTGCCAGAAAGTGCGTGTGTATTACTCGTTATAAAATATTTTTAAATAAAATCTTACATATTAATAAAATTTATTAAATATATTTAATAATTTTATCTTTTTAAAATAAAAATATAAAATTTTTAAAATATCCATTATTTAATATATTAAAAAAATGAATGAAAATTAATTATAGAAAGAGAAAATGTAATATTAAAATTGATGTATTTAATAAAATTTTAATTTACTTAAAGTGTTTTATATTTTAAAATAAAAAAACTTTTTAAAAAATTTTTTATAATTTAAAATGAAAGAAGTAATATATATACATAGGGGAAGACAAAAAGGGGGTGAAAACGACAAAAATTAAAAAGAGAGAAAATTAAAGAAGATGCTCGAATCAAAATGGATGAGTCCTGTTGTTGGACGCTCATCGCTGTTTGGAAGTCGTTAGAATCGTCGCACACTCACCCGCCATTACCCGATTCTATGTTTTTTTTTTTTTTTCAATAACGTAACTTGAAAAATTAAAGATACAGTAAAACAAAAATGACAATGTCAAACTTAAACATAAATGTATAGTATACTAAAAAATAATAGTATGACTGGTTTTCAACCTTTTGTAATCCAATGAGTTCACTATTTACTATCTTTAGTTATTAAGATATATTATTTTTTGGCCAATGATATTGTGACCAAATAGCATGAAAATGTTCTTGCAACTTGCAAGTAAAAACTATTCTACGTTCATATATATATATATATAAAAGATATTTTTTAAAAGTTTATTTTATTTTTAAATATAAGAAGTATTATGATGTTTCTGAATAATTAGACAATTATTCTTGTCTTACAAAATGAAAAATATTAATTATGTGCTTTTTCCATCACTATTACAATATTAATTGTGACACTATTAGAAGTAAAATTTAAAAAACTATTGTAATTATGTGTGATTCCAACTACATAATAATTTTTATTGATGTATGAGATTCAATTAAAAATATTTTTTATATAATAAGGGAGGGAGTAATTGATTCAATTTTACTTATAATTTTAGATTGTTAATGCGTGCCTTTCTCAACTCAATTAAAAAAGATATTCTTGTTTGATGTGATTTTAATTAATTTGATAATCAACTATTATGCTATGTACATTTACTTATAAAATTTATGGTTGTTGGCAAAAGAAAACTTATAAAATTTATAGTTGAATGTCTGTTACGACTGACAAAATGAGGAAAAATGTATCAGCCATTAAGAAAGGTGAGGAAAAATACATTTTTTATTTTTTTATAATTTTACTTAAGTTTTAATTTGATTATTATAACTTTCTATTTCAATTTTCTTTTTGGTGAAAAACTTTGTAGTTCATATTTATAAATGAATTAGATACTTATAATGGATTATTTTTAAAATCTAACCTCTATCATCAAAGTTATGATAACATTTTATTAAAATAGAAAATATGGCTAGGTATATATTCTATGTCAGTAAAAAAAAGGATCTATATTTGTAATTTAAATATAAATAGGTGGTATTGAAAATAAAGAAAAATATAAACACCAAATAAGATGTTGAAAGTTTAAACCATAAACCCTAAGATAAAAATAATCCGAGTAAAATTAAGAATAATTAAAAATAATTTTTCAAAAATATAAATTACAAGGGTTGGTTTTCAGAAGATAAAAGGCATAAGATTATACTAATTTTAGACAAAATCATGAATAGATTTAAAGTTCAATTGCAGATTTGGAGGGTTGCTTTTACAAAAGGGAAGTGCCAGCCAAAGTTCCAACCTACTCAGCAACACTGAGATTTGAGAATCTCGTGTGCTTTCAATTCATCATATTTTCATTTGGGGCGGCAACAAAAGTGATTATATTTTGGTCGATTCTCTTATATTAATTTAATCACTTTACTCATTTTTATTGTTAAATGCAAATGAATATCCACCCAGACACAAAAAAAAAATATTATTGAGAGCCCATGTCCCATAAGATGAGATTCTTCCTTTAAAATTCTGAACAAATAAATTATAAAAAATAAAAAATATATATAATTTAACTAATTTAAATTAAACTTAGAGAAATTTTTTTTTTTGAACTACCAAATCATCCCTTTCTTAGACTAATTATTTTGTCACTTGGGGTCATCTTCAAAACGCACATTTTCGAGGTCCTGTGTTCAAATTCAAGTGATATAAATTAAAGCAAAATATGGGTAAATAGTTTGAGATGTAGACACTTCTAATATAATTATATAATAAACAACAAAAGATTTAGAAAATTAGGGAGCAGTGCCATGTTATTGACGGGCATGAAAAATAGAAAAAAATACTTTTATAAATATCACATATATTTATTTAAATAAAATAAATTCAATCAAATGATATAAATATTATATATATATCTAAATTAATCATCTAATTTCTATAATTGTAATTCAATTCATATAATTTTAACTTGGTATGATTCAATTTAAATAGTTTAATTTAATTTTAATTCAATTTTTAAAATTTTAGTGAGTAGTAATCTTTTAAAATATTAATCTTTAAATTTTAATAAAAATTTTATTCTTTATAAATTTATTTTGTAATAGAGACAATGGCAAAAAAAAAACAGAGAGAGACAACTAAAACAATAGATTAAAGGAATTAAATGATTAATTTTTCATTATATATATATTTGACTTCTTAAAAATAGTTTTTATTTTAGATCTAGCACTCTAATCACCGGCGCCGTCTGGTCAGGTCGGAAACTATTTAAGGTCGGGACCGTTCGCTGCGTTTCATCTCTGGATTGAACTCCGTCAATTCAAATTCAAATTTGAAGCAAAAGAAATTCCATTTTTTGTTAGTCATCAATCTATCTTTCTTCTTCTTTCTTATGCATATCAATTATCAAACAGTTGACTGAATCATTCTTCCACACACTCGTATTAAATTTCACATTTAACAGTATATCCAGGATCTATCATTTCTCTTCTATGTCTAAAATTCTAAATCCACATTAGAAACTTACAAGAAAGCAGCAGATTTTTACAGACAAAAATCATCTTCATCGCTTTGTTATGCATATTCTGGTTATTAGAACTCCAGTCGGTGGACCAGTCATCTCGATCTGGCAAGTGCTATGGATCCGGAAAGACAAATGGATGAAACCAACAATGGCTCTTACTTTAAAGGTTGCCCTCACGTTGCAGTTCACCCTGTTGCTCTGAACCTGCCTTTGAAGCTTTATCCCTAGATCCTCAGGCAGAAACACCAAGCTTGAGATGAAGTGAATCGGTTGCAACCTGGTTTGCCTTCGCCTCTGCGTGAACGGCTGAATCGCCTGACTGGATATGACTCTGTCTGCGAAGAAAAGCTCAATGTCGCCAGATTCAAATCTCACGTCGATTTTCCTATTAGGATTCGTGAAATTCGCGAGCAGGACAAAATCTCCGTTCAGATACTGTGGAGAGTCGAAGTACACGACTTTGAGGCTCGCATTGGGGATGTCGAAAATAGGGTTTCGCGGTTTAACGGTGAGGAAGATGATCAGCGTTGCGATTCCAAAGACGATGAGGATGACGCTGAATATGAGGCACAAAACTGCAGCAAACCATACTACTGGGTTCGTTCGTCGAACTCTTGGATGCCTCAGTGTTGTTGGTTGTCTACTATACTGTTTTGTGGCAAAATTTGGTGATTCTAATTCCACACAACTTTGGTTTCTGGATTGTATTGATCCTGCGATTTGGTCATTAGAATTTGGCTTGAGTGGCTTTGTGGGTGGGGATGGAGATTCTGGATGAGGTGAGAGATGATCAGGCATACTTGAGTAAAGTACTAGAAAGAGCTGCAAATTATTACAGCAAAATTGAAGAAGCAGATAATGAAAGTGAAGTTCATGGAGATGAAAAAGAGGATGGATATGTTAATTTATTCCTTTGGGGTGGTGGGCTAAGGAAGGTGAAGAGGGAAAAGAAGCTTTTAAATTGGGTGGCAATGGTGGCAGCGGTGGGGTCACTCTTTTTCTGGGTACTGGCAAAAGGTATGAGGGAGTGGGAACAGGTGAGAGCTACAGTGAAGGCCAAATCAGCGTTTGGGTTTTTTTCACTTTCGAATGTTTTGCTTTTGGTGCAGAGCTATGGCTGAGAAAAGTCATAAAGAAGAGTTAGTTCAACAGAGAATTCTCGTCCTTTTATTGCTCTTGCTTTTAAGTTCTGAAGTTTGTGTTTGACTGGGCAATGTTTTAGGGTAATCTGCGAAACCGGTCAATTCAATGAAGGGCTTAGATCAAGCTTGTTTACCATTTATTATATAGTGTTGCTTCATGATATCAAAACTCGTGTCCTTGGATGCGTAGGTTGATTAATCACTAAGAAATTGTTTTGACCCAAAAAAAAAAAAAAAGTCACCATGGAATTGCACGCAATTCGGAAGGTGAATCATCTGGAATACGACTCTCAATCAATCTTCAATCATGGCGATTCAGGCCGCAGACCAGAAAGAGCCATCGGACAAAGATGGAAAAAATGATAATAAATTTTTTTTAAAATAATAATTTAATTTTTTTAAATATTTTTTGTTATATAAATTATAAAAGTTGAATAAGAAATCACAATTTATCAAATATAATTTTTATTATTAAAAAAAAGTTTTCAAAATGATAAACTTTTATCACAACTTTTTTTAAGAAATAATAATTTTTATGTAAAGAATCATAAAAATTAAATAAAAAATTATAATTTATTAATAAAAGTAAAATGATATTTTCACTTTAAAATTTATCGACACATAAATTTTTAAAAAATTTAGTGAAATCATAACATTTAAAGAGATCAAAGTATCATTTATATAATTCAGAAAATTTTACTGTAATTTTTCCTTGTTAATATTTCATTCCATGTTAGATGAGAATGACAATCCAAAAAATATATATATATTAATCATAGTTAGGTCCTTAATACATTTTTTTTTAAAAAATTAGTTTTTAATATCAATTCAAACTGTTGTAAATTTAAAATTTTCAATTTCAAATACGATATTTGAATTCTAAATCACAATCAATTTGCAATTAGTATTCCTATTTATAATTATTTAAATTGATATTTATAATTTACTTTATAAAAAATTTTGTTGGAGACTTAACAGTAATTAGTTTATCTTTTTTTGGACCTTTACTGTCATTCTTCCTACTTTTTATTTAGAATTGATAATATGTGTTGGATTCGTTGGACTATCTATTTTTTTTTTAAAGATTGGGTCTTGAAAATTTAAATTTTTTGAAAAAATCACAATTAAAAATCCCTATATTGTTATATTTGTAAAAAAAGATTAAAAAATTTTGAAATCGCTCTGCAAGATTAAATGACCAAAACATAATTTAAATTTATTGTAAAATTACAAAGCTACCCCTCATTTATTTATTTTATTTTTTCACTATCATTGACTGTCAAAGCTCGAGCAGTGGCCCCTTAGGCTCCAACACTTGCAAAGGTGACAAATTAATTTTTGTTTTTAAAGGTGGCTAAGGGAACTTTGATTCCACAACTCTTGGTCACTAAAAGAAATGCTAGCCTTTGAGTTAGCAATGCCTTTTAATCATATAATACAAATTTTGATATAAATTATCAACTCTGTTCTAACTTTTCAAGTTAATATTTATCAAGAGTTTAATAATTATTTATCATTTTATAAATGACTACTTGTTAAGTTATTAATAAAATTTGTTAAAAATTTAATATATATTAGTTTTTATAAACATTTACATGTTTTTATTATAAAAATTTACATGTCAAAAGCTTATATAAATTTGTTATTTTATCAAAATTTACCTTGATAAATTATTAAGAAAAATTGTCAAAAATTAGTGATGGCACTTGTCATTTTACAAATAATTATATTAAATTACTAATAAGAATTTATTAAAAAAAATTATTCACTGATTTTTATTAATGTTTAATTATTTTTATTATCAAAAATTTATTTGAAAAATAGCTTTTGTAAACTTTTTATTTTACTAAAATTTATTTGTTAAATTATTAAAAAAAATTGTTAAAGTTAGTAACAAGACTCATCATTTTATAAATAATTACTTATTAAATTATTAATGGAGATTTGATAAAAAAATTTATTATACACAGGTTTTTTATAAATATTAACTTATTTTTATTACTAAAAGTTTACTTATATGTGAACATTTTATTTTACTAAAATTTATTTGTTGAGTTATTAAGGAAAATTGTCAAAGTTAGTAACAGAACTTATTATTTTATAAACAATTTTTTATTAATTTAATAATGGGGATTTGTTGAAAAAAATTATCATACACTTTTTTTTTATAAATGTTTGTTGTTTTTATTATCGAAAATTTATTTGTGAACTTTTTATTTTACTAAAAATTACTTATCAAATTATTAAGAAAATTGTCAAAGTTAGTAATAAAACTTGTGATTTCACAAATTATTACTTATTAAATTACTAATAGGAACTTATTAAATAAATTTAGTATACATTGATTTTTATAATTTTTACTTGTTTTTATCACTAAAAGTTTACTTGTAAAAAAGCTTATATGAACTTTTTATTAAAATTGATTTATTAAATTATTAATAAAAATTGTCAAAGTTAGTAATAGAACTTATAATTCCATAAATTGTTGCTTGTTAAATTATTAATGAAGCTTATTAAAAAATTTATTATACATTGGTTTTTTATAAATGTTTACTTATCAAATGTTTACTTGTTAAAAAAACTTTGTTTACTTCTGACAAGTGTACATTTGATAGCAAAAGCAAGGAAATATTTATAAAAATCAATACATATTAAATTTTTTTAATAAATCTCATTAGTAATTTAATAAATAGTTATTTGTGAAATAACAAATCACCCTTAAAGTCCTAATAAGTATTGGCTTGAAAAGTTAAAATTGAGTTGGTAATATATATAAAACTTTGCTTTATATGATTAAGAGGCATTATTAGCTTAGTTTCTAGCATTTTTGTCACCTTTGACGGAGCTCTAGTTGCCAGCAATTTGTCTCATGGGTGGCACCGGTGATAACATTCAGGCTGTCAGTGACAATGGGAGAATATTTTAAAGAAAATAAATGAGAGGTGGTTTTGTAATCTCAAAATGAATGTTAATTACATTTTAGTTCCTTAGTCCTATAGAGCAATTTCGGAATTTGTTTTCTTTTGTCTATATACGAATGTAGGCTTTGATAAACTCAAAACCTACTTAAAGACTTTGAACTTTAAATTTAAAAGCTTTTTTAAAGGCCTACATAAATACAACATATGAAGTAGGCATTTAAAAAGATTTCAGGCCAAGTCAGGCCTATCTTAAGCTTAGGCTTGAACATAAGAAAAGCTCACATATAAGTTCAAACTTAGGCTCAAACTTGAGACCTATGTTAGAGGCTCATGATTATTTGATTAAAGACTGGCCTGGCCTGACCTATTCCTATTTCTATATATAAATATTTTTTATTAGAGATAATTCTATTTGAAAAAATATCAGGCACTAAATATGGGTACATTTTTTAATAAAAATTTAAACTTTAATTTATCACATTGCAAGGAGCTAATTTTTTTAGCTAAATCCAACCCTTGTTATTAGAGTCTTTTTTTAATTAAAAAAATTACCTTACTTTTGTAAACTCAAAAAAAAGGCCTGGACTTCCCGTTTAACCTTACTTTTATTTCTTCAATTTTAAAGTATGCTAAAAAACTAAAGTTTGATTTTTTTTGGTTACTCACAAATATATTCCTATTAAAGATAATTTTATTTGAAATGGTGTCAAACACTAAATGTGGATATCCCTTTTAACAAGAATTCAAACATTAATTCTTTAAATTATAAGGGATTAGCCCTTTCTATTAGCTCTAACTTCATTTAGTCGTTTCTATTAGCTCTAACTTTATTTGGCCTTTTCTATTGGCTCTAACCTCATTAGTATAATTTTTGAATATAAAAGAATTGTTGAACCCGCAAAAAAAGGCTTGGACTAAAGTTTGGATTTTGAAATAAGTAGAAAATGCTGCCACGATAGAAAACGTTTAACGAATGCATATACCAATGAAAAGATTCCCATTACATACATAAAAAAGAAAAAGAAAAAGAAAAAGTAATCTTACCAAGTATATAAACGAATTAGACTAATTCCATACGTATATTTAAATGTGTACTTTTAGGTTTATTGTATATTTTACGTGATTGAAATACTTTAATAACAAATAAATATGTAAATAGGTTAAGTTATTAATTATTTCACAAAAATTAAGTCATGGGGAAATATTGTTAATAAAATATAAGCAATATGTAAACATGTAAAAATGTTTAATTGATGCGCTTATCATATATTAATTGGACTTTCTTTTTGACTTGAGTGATAATATCTTAAACATTTTAATTTGGTTAGACATTTATTTTTCATCCTTTAGAGTTTGGATATGTTTGGCAAAAAAAGTGTTTGAACACCTGTTGTAATAATAAATTGGGTTAAATGATAATTTGGCATAAGGTTTAAGATTCTAAATTTATTTTTGATATGATATTCACATTCAACATTTGAAAATTATATAATATCCCACCTATGATTAATAAATATTAAATTTAACAGTTAGTTCATCAAAAAAATGAAAGAAAAAGACTTAAAAAGATTAGAGAAAATATAATTTTTATATGATATTTATTTAAAATTTTGAGTATTTTTTATAATTTTTAAAATTATTTTTTTATAATTTTATGATCAATTAAAGTTAAAGTTAAATTTGATTAATAGTAAAGGTGGCATTGGATTGTTTTTAAACATTTAAAGAGACTATTGCATCAAAAAGAAAATTAAGATCCAAATTTCTGTGCTTATAATTAAGGGTCGTCAATTGCTTTTCTGCCTCATGCCTCGTAATCTCGTATTAAATATTACTTTTATTTAATTTGATCACTTGTTTGAATTAGGACTGTATAAAAAATTGGACGATACTAGATTTCAGCCTAATTTAAAATTTAGTCTCTTTTATAAAAAAGATTGAGTTAGGCAACTCGTAATCCGATCTTATTCAGTGATAATCTGAAGATTAGCAAGATAGAACTTCGTCCATAAGATTGAGAGACTAATTTTATTAATTCAGTACTCACTTAGC